ATGGCTCTGGCCATGCAGGCACTTGTACTGACATGTACCACCCCCCCATACATGATTAAAAGTAAGTTTAAAGGAAAGGAAATCTGTTTTAAAAGTCCCCTCGCCCACAGGAGAAACAATGCCTTGTGCTATGAAGAGAAACCCTCTTACAGAAATGTTGCACACCCCAAGAAAGGTAACGCTGTCACACATTGGGTCTAGACTTGGGGACAGATCCTTGGAAGTCCCTAAGTCTCTTTCCGATACTAGAAGGCAGACAGCCAACGTGGGCCCTGTGTGTGGTGCTAAGAGGCTCTAGCGGACAGCACATCAGTGCCGTATCGTACAGTAACCCCTCCTCAGACTAAAGGCAGAACATACTCAAATGGGGAAATTATTTTTCATTTAAGATTCCATTCAGAGCAGGCATTGGTGGCACACACCCACAGTTCCCATTACTCAGGAGCATCACGAGTTTGAGGCCAGCCTGGGCAACATAGCAGCAAGACCTTACCTCAAAATGACAATAAGTAGTCAAGGCTGCAGTTATGGCTCAGTGGTAGAGAATTTGCCCATCATGCATTAGGCCCTGGATTCAGTATAGGGAGGGGGAGAATCCACCCACAGCTAACTGGAGTTACTCTTGGAGAATTTAATGCCGTAGGGTAAACGAGTGACCCCCACAGCCTTCTGAAAGCCATCCCAGGAAGTGAACTGTGCGACACCTATAAATATCGTAAAGTCTTGAGCCAGCCAGTGCAACCCTAAAAGGATGGTCGAGAAAGGGAAGGGGAGCTGGGGCTCAGTGCTAAGGGCTGAGCTATCCCGTAACAATGAACAGGGTCCCGCTACTCTCTGCCCTCACACTCCCCAGCGGAGGCTGCACAGTCGCCCTGCGTCTCATCCTTCTCAAGCACAATGGTAACACGGGTACCTATCTTATCCAGTCCTCAGAAGAAGAAATGAGCGCACACACCTGGAAGGCTCTAGGAGATGGCCACACGCTGCTCAGTACACTAGCACACAAACCTCTAGCTATACCCTCTGAAAATCGTAACAAAACATGCCCTCCCTCAAACAGCTATTCCTACACATCCAGGCAGCCTGAATTCTGGGGCAACTGTCAAATAACCAGGTCATCTGCTTCCACTGGAAGTGCCAGACGTCATCTTGGAGACTGTCCTAACACCAGCTTCGCACACACCAGGTGGCTTCTATGTACACTGAGTATGTCGCATTATTCTCAAGTTGAGGACTGACCCACTATCCTACCGCTCAGACCAGAAAACTGCCAACTCATCCCACCAGTGCCTCTCTTGAAATCTGAAAGCTTGAAAAGCCCTGTGAAGAATCATTTCCGGGTGAGTGCTGGAAGCTACTGAGTGTTGTCAGGTGGGGAGTGTGAGCCCTGTGTCTCACTCAGTCTCTTCAACACCAGCCATGGGAGACCTGAGCCAAGCATTGCCAACAGGAACCACAAGGAAATGGAGGTGGAGGGCTGAGTGAACATCCCGTGAGAGCCGGCACATGCCATGACCTGGACTCCTGGCAAAGGTCACTTCAGATTCCTCCCTTTCTTGGGTGGAATACTTGCTCAGAGGCAGGATCCCAGCTTGGACACGGCTCTATTGAATTCTTTCCATGAAGCCCGGCCATGCCAGAAACTGGCTTACCCTCAGACGTCTTTGGAAGTCTGCAGAGTCTCAAACACATCTGTGTCCCTAAGGGCTCACACATCTAGCTCGGTACGCCTGCACTGGGGAGCGCCACTGCCCGGCTGTCCCGTTCTCCAAGATCCTTCTCCCGGGCTCCACTTGCTCCAAGCACTGGGCAACTGCTTAGGACTCAACTGATGGGTGGCTGCTTTGTTTGAGAGTAAGCTTCTGTCTAGTCTCTCTTAGAAGAGACATTTTCATGTTCATCACGCCTGCAGCCTTGAACAGTGCCTGGCAAACAGTAGGTGCAAGAACAGGGTTGAATCCCGCTCTGCAGCCTGCAGTCCTGGGACCTGAACATACTCTGGGAAGGAAGGTGGGGAAGAGCCTGGAGCAGTGGGTGGGGCCACAGATTTTACTCAGCCAAGGGTTCTGATGAGGATTTAGGGACAGTCACGTTCTCCATCAGGGCTTCACACATACTGGAGCCTACAAAGGACTGAATGAAAACACAATGAAAAATGGATGATGAAACCTTGAAGATGGCTTTGAGGTCAACTGATACCAGGCCTCAAGTTCAGTGTCCACTCCAGGTGAAAAACAAAAAGAAACAAAACAAAACACAAAGCTACGGGCCACAGTAGGAGGTGAGGCTGGGTGACCAAGAGGGTAGGAGTTGAAGCTGGGAAGCTGCTGTGCTGTAAGAGAAGCCAGAAGACACATCCAGGAAGACAAGGCTATCTACCTGAGAGATGCTGACCCCGCCCGCAAAGGAGGCTCAAGCACATGCAGAGAACTACTGGGTTCCTTCTTGTGATGAAGCTCGGAGCACACGGCATCTCCTCTACTGGTGTGTGTTTGTACTCAACAGTCTGGAATAATCAGGCCCTCACAGCCTGGTCCACATATACAAGCACTAAGGAAACGTGGGTACCAGATTACAGAGCTCAGAGTCCTTGGGCTGATGCACAACCCCCGCCCAGCTCTGCCCAACCTTGGCTACCCTGGAATCAAAGCATGAAGGACAGATTATCTGAAGGCCTTTCCAGCCCTGGACTTCTATGATAGATGGCTGCATCACGAGAGAAACTCAGGGAAAGCATGAGGCATCTTCTACAGTGGAAATGCATTATATAATAAGCCAGAATCTGCTCGTGTCTAAGACATAAAAGTTAGATCCAAATGTCTCTCTCTAACCAAGGCCATAGTGCAAAATAGCCAAGTCCACAGGTGGTTCTAAGAGGCACGTCTTCCCAGCATTGGGGATACCAAGCCTGCCAGCTTGCATTCCCTGAGGTATCTAAAAATGTAGAAAGCCCAAGGAGCCATGGTGAGATGGTCTGGATAATCTCCATCTAAACATTCTTACTGGCTTCGAGGAAAATACTCAAACCTTCAAACAACTGAAAAACATACAATCTTCAAAGTTCTCCACACTGACTCTCCATTTTTGCTGTCAGAAAAATGGGGCCCTGACTCACCTACCTCTAGGCATGTGACCTGCCATGTTGAGAGCCTTGTGTCCACAAACTCCCATGAGCCTCAGGTGCCCTCTGGGAAAGCAGATAACATCAATGCTCCATACCCTGGGCAAGACTGCCACAGATGTGGAACTTGTGTGGCATGTCTGCAGGGGAGGGGAGGCCATGCAAAAGTTGGGGCCATACAGATGGTCCCCTAGACCCACTGTGCCTGGGACCACTGCTCTTGCAGACCAGAGCTGTAAGCGATAGGCTGTTGATATAGCAATGAGGGTTACCTGCATTTGGAAATTAACCCTTTGGGAATGAACCTAACGTGAACATTTCAAAGATGAAGGGGAAGCCGAATTATCTTACAGAAACAAATGAGTCCTCAGCTAGGAAGGGGCGGTGGCCACCCGTTGGAAAATCTTCAGTTTCTATTTAAAACGGTGACCATGCTTCTATGTAATCTGATGTGTCTTCCCCTCCATAGGGTAAGTTCATGGCCTTCCTTCTCTCCCTGCATCCCCAGTACCTGGTCATGTGGTAAGTAGTATGCCAAGAAATGAATGAATGTGCTGGAACAGGGGAAAGAATGCATCAATCAGAAGGGTCAGCAAAAGAGTCCAGAGAAACGAGGAAGCTCCATAGGACTCATCCAAGCTATGGCCAGAGGCCGTGTGCACAAAGGATGGCTGGTGCAGATCTCCTCGGGGCTGTAGAAAGGCAGCTGCTCACACTCAGATTTCTGGGCTGTCTTTCTGATACAGCTATAGCTGTTTCAAGCAAGTTAGACAGGTAAAAAAGAAAAAGCTTCTCTGGGACATCCTTCAAGCCAGTCCATGGCCACACCTACATTGGCCCCAAACCTCCAAGCTGTGAAATCTACTGTTACATCTTCCTAGAATACCTACTCTGCGAGACTGTTCTCAGAGTGCAGAAGTAAAAAAAAGAGGATAAGTGCACTCTGTAAGTCACACGTCTAACCAGTGGCTGCTCTTGTGGGACTCATGTGGAACCATGTCATAACCATGCGAGTTTATCAGGCCACGAGTTTAACCTGTTACAGTACAGAAGCAAGTTCAAGGCCAGCAGGACAGCCCGGGGACAGCCTGGGAACAAAGCAGGGTGGATAAGTGTCAGAACAGCACCAGGGTCGCATTGTGCTCAGGGGCTGTAATCTACAGCATCTGTGTCCCAATGACACCCGGAGATGTGCCTGACAGCTGCTGCAAGCACACTGCCCTCCCTCAACCCCAGCAGCGCCCTGACCACAGGTGCCGAAGACCCCATAGCAGGGACCAAAGGCTGCAAGGAGGCGGAGAGAAGGTGATCCTGCAAGTCCCATCCCTCTATTATTACTCTCTGCCCAGAGTCACAGGAGGGCCGGTTAATCCAGATATGGGACCACGTCTCTCTCCTGCCCCTAGTTATGTGTATTTGTTCCTGGTGCCACTTTTGATGTGACATGTTTGTCTTGTGGTGCCAGCTCCAGCTCTCCTGTCAGTCTCCAAACCAAAGTCACAGGAGATAGTACAGTCAGGGTTTGATCCTTACCTGACCTACCTTTTTCCAATGGTCAGAGTGACCCCAGGGGCATATGGCGGACCTCATATTTTTCTTGGCTTACAGTATTGAACAAGGTGATACAATACACATTTAGAAAGAGAGGCAGAGGTAGGGAAGTTGCACTTGTGTTTTACACACACACACACACACACACACACACACACACACACACACACACACACAGAAGCTCTCTGGCTGAAAGAAAGTAGAACATACCCCCAACTCAGATACTAAATTTGTAACATCAAATCCAGGCAAATTGAGAACAGAGAAAGGCAAGTCACACGGAGGCTTTCCACCCAGAGAACTGTAAAGTATGCATGCATATACATACCCGACTTGGGTACTGTCTCGATACGGCAGCACGGAAAATATACTACAGAAGGATCTTCTGCCACTGATAAGGACTATTCTACAAAGTAAAAACAAAAAACAAAAAAACAAACAACTAACTAAATGCAAAGACTCCAAATTAAAAAAAAAAAACACAAAACAAACTTAAAATAAGTTCTACAGCAAATTAAGCATTCATGAGATTCACAGCGGTATTTGCATACTCCCGCCTCCTCCTCCAACAGATGGCGTTCTGCTCTTCCTTCAAATTGCAAGCCCTCGGCAGCCAGCAGAAGTTTGCTGCCTTTCCTCACCCAAATATCAGCACGTGCGAGACCAGCCATACGTGAGAGGTACTGCCTGGGATGTGAGCTGTGCATACAAGGCTCAGCAGACCCAACTGAAACTTGGGTGGCCAGCACAGGCAAAATGGTAATGCTACCTCAAGACTACTGACTTCTGCCCCGCAGTAAACAATGTAAGGGCAACTGTGCCCAGAACCGTGAGCTGGAAAGACGTTCAGATGCCGCCACCATCGTTAGCTTTGCATATTCTGGCAACATGTTAGGTTCTCAGAATAGACTGAGGGAACAATTGCATAATCAGCCTTAGCCACCATCCCTGCTATAAAGAATTCTACACCATGCTCTTATGCAATCAGAGCCACTTGAAAAAACATTAAAAACAAAAAACAAAACCCCTCAAAAGTACTTATCCTGCCATCTGAGAATAACTTCTGCCAAAGGGAATTGCTGGTGGAAAAAAAAAAATGAAGAAATGAGTGGGAGAAAATAAAAATCATTCTTTCTAGCCTGAGGTCAATGCAGTTCACACATGGAGCCTATTTACTTTTAAAATTTCCTTCAATGTTACGGTGTCACAAGCAGGGAAACAGCACTAAGGAGTGCATCAGGGTTTGGGGATCTTAACCTTGCTTTGAAGCTATGATGTTAAACTACTCACATTCCAGAAGAGGTCTGGTCTCTGGTGTGGCAAGCCAGACCACACTGCTGGCCCTGCCTCTCTAGTGGCAGTGGTACAGTATTTTCCCATGTGCCTTACCATGTCTACGTGCAGTGTCCCAACTATTTAAAAAGCCAGTTTTGTCCTGTGCCTTTACACGCTACGTCTTCAGCCTGTGATGTCCTGCTTGGGCACAGTTGCAAAACTCTGGAGAGTCTTCAAAACCTAACTGGGAAGTGAACCCTCCAGGGGAGTGGAGGGCATTGGTGGGAACAGGCTCCTTGTCACCTGTCTCCTCTTCTAGAGGGCAACACTCAGGGTTCAGCATCGAGCTGTTACTCTACCAGGCTGTTGCCAATGTGTCTGAGACGCAGTCTGGATGCAGAGAGGCACCCAGGCGCCCATCAAGAAGACCCAGGCCTTTTATCCATTGGCCCCACAGTGGTTCCTATGTGCAGAGGCAAAGGGCACCAAGGTGATGCTCCCAGCTTCTGATACAGCCTTGCCACTTTGTGTCTGTCTTCTGAACTTTGATTTCCCCGTCTAAGAGAAGGTGCTGAGTTGGCATGGAAGCACATACCTGCTTCCTCAGAACTTGGGAGGTAGAGGCATGAGGGTCAGGCATTCAAGCCTCAGCTACACAACAAAGCTGAGACCAATCTGGGCTACACCGGCTCCTGTCTGAAGAAACAGAAAATGAACGAGTGAATTAATGAATGAATGAACAAACGAATGAAACGAGGTAAATCTGGAAGAGAAAATGGGAAGCTGGAAAAGAAAGTGAGTTCCCAGTAGAAAAGTTCTTGGGACTTTGCCCAGCAGACACGGATAGATGTTAAATAGGAATCATTTTCAATGTAGACTGGCTTTTCGGGTGCGGCTGTCTTAGCAACATACTACTTGCATGTAGAACCTCTCCAGACCTCAGTGCTGCTAAGAGGAAGAAAGGCAATGCTGTGGACAGCTGAAGGGGCAAACACAGGGCCCAAATGGTGTGACACACTCACACAGAGATCCTTAGCTATCAAACCCGGATCCAACCAGGGCTAGGGGCAAGACTGTCCCACCCTGAGTCAAACACATCACACCAGAGACAACTTTCAGCATGGTGTGTCTATGTAAGCTCACACTGACACAACAATGGCTGAAACAATTGACTCTGCACCAGGAAGGATGAGCTAGTAAAGGACTTACTGAAGTGAGTGTGGCACCTGAGCAGGTGCGCAGCCCACAGATGTGAACCTGAGCCCTTCCGTGCTGGGAATTCACCTCTCTAACTTACTAGGAAGATCTGCCTTCAGGCGCTCAGCGTCCTGGGTACCAACAAGCCTGCTGTTCCCGGGGTGTTCCATAGTCACTTTCTGGTCCTGCCTGTGGGTCACCTTAAGAGTGCTGGATCACACCCCCACCATCAGAGCTGCTAGAGCCACAGAGGCTCCATATTCCACCCTGCTCGGCCTGGACCCTTTCTAGACACAGGATGGAGGTTCTCCCTATGCTCAGTCCCTGTCCCTCATTGTCACTCTTGCCATACCCCCAGTCACTCAACATCAGTGTCCCCGAGACACAGAGGAAAGAGGGTGCTGACCAAATCCAACCGCTTTACTATGGCTGCATTTTCCGCATCACCCAATACCAACGTGTTCCTCGTTCCCACACACCAAATTTGCTTGGACATCTTAAACGGGACGAGAAAATGAGAGGCTGTCAATGCCAAGTGCAATCCAAGCCTTCTCTGTAACATTTCCCCTACAGAGGTGCCCATCAGTGAATCGGCTGCATTGTTCTATGAACTGAGGGTGCACTCTTATGTTACTCTATTAGGTGAGCCAAGTTTAGCAACCAGGGACATGGACTGGGATTCCCAGCAATCCCCCTAGGGCAATTTCCTCCTTGGCCAGTCTAGAGAGGGGAGGGAGGTATGCAGGAGCCCTCCCCAGGCTAAACCTTCCCATGGATTCTGCTCTCAACAGGGGCCAGAAGAAGCAGCCACAGCAGAGACCTGCTTGGTAGTCATGACAACACTGCCAACATTTCCCCTGGAGCTCCGGGGAACATGTCTTCCATACTTCCCGAAGTAGATCTGGCCGCCAGCAGGGACTATAGTCCTCAGCCAGAACAGGCAGGCAGCAACAAGTACAAAATGAGACTTCTTACACAAGCAAGCGTGAGGCTTGTCCTGAAGAGAAGCAGGGACTCATGGGAACTTGTTGCTTGGCTCTGCTCTAAGGAGCCATCCGTCACAACGGAGTGCCTCAGAAGAAAACCCAATTTGTTTGCCTCCTTCGAGGGTGTCTGCTCTTTCTGGGGGAGTTAAGTCGGACACTGGTGGTCATGACTGGCATAAGACAACCACATACCATTTCCGATGCGCTTGCGACTGACCACGTCTGTGTCCCTGCCTTCAACCACAGATGCCCCTTTTTCACATGGCACACAAAAAGCTCACACTATCTTCCCCATCTGTGACATCTAACACTCAAGTCAAGATGTCCAGAAAGCATTCCATAAAAGATTATGACTTCAACAGTGGAATTAACCCCAGGGAGATGGGTCTGTGAGGAATCAAAGGTCACATTTCCATACAAATGTCTCCAGAGAAAAAACAAAACAGCTAAGGAAAAGACTCCAGGGGCTGTGGGCCAGGCTGCCTCTGGATACACAATGTCCTCTAAAGCCTTCAGGAGGTTCAGCGCATGCCCGGGAGCTCCGAGCGGGCCTGAGTTCCGTATCCACAGAGATCATGTCCATGCTCTTGGGAAAGTGTAGCCACTTGGAGGGGATCGCTTAACTTCTAAGCACAAATTCTCCATGGCCATCTTTTTTTTTTTTTTTTTTTTTTTTTTTAAGATTTATTTATTGTGTTTACAATGCTCTGCTTACATGTCTGCTTCAACACCAGAAGAGGGCACCAGACCGGATTACAGATGGCTGTGAGCCACCATGTGGTTGCTGGGAATTGAACTCAGGACCTTTGGAAGAGTAACCAGTGCTCTTAACCTCTGAGCCATCTCTCCAGCCCTCCATGGCCATCTTTTTCACGGAATTTGCTTTCAATCCCTCAGTTCAGTGTTGGTGCCCTTGTGTGTAACACTACTCAGGCCCTTATGTGTTGTTTGATGGCAAAAGCTATCTTCTTGTTCCATTCCCAGCCCTTGAGAAGTCTGCTGGTCTAGAGAAATCTCATCCTTATTCCGTAATAGCAGAGATATTCATTCCGTACGGATACTAAAAATGACCAAGCAATTTAATGGAGTAAGAAAACACTGTGGTGTCTACTAAGCACAGTCCAGGGCCCATAGCAAGTGCTGGACATGTGCAGAAACATGTTTTCCAAACTCACTCTTTGCATGCCTGGGAAGCGAGAGAAAATACTGGCGCTGGCGGTACCGAGGGCTGAAGTGTGACCTCTGCTGGAAGTAGGGACTTTCAGATACAACTGCGTTAGTGTGAGATGGTATAGGGAAGTGGGTCTCATGCCCAGGAAGTGGTGTCTTACGAGGAGTGACCTGTAGACACCTGCACATGCACAGACCAAGAGATCACGTGATCGTGAGCCAGAAATGGGGGTGATGCTGCAAGGGCCGAGGTTGCCCAGAACTGCTGCCACCTACTGATGATGATGGAGGGAAGGGGTAGCTCTCCCTAGAACCTTCTTCAGAGAACACAGTCCTGTACACCAAGCCTCCAGAAGTGACAGAAACTGACTGTGTTAGGTGCTTTGCAAGGCAGCCCAGGAAACGAATACAGCTGGCCTTTGGTTGTGTTCTTTCTGGCTGGGTCTATGCCCCTACCCCCATGGTAGGAGGTAAAGTGTGCAAAGGACAGCACAGCATCTGGGAACTCAGTCTCTTCCCAGCTCCACTTAGCCTGCCTTTCCCACAGCCTGCGTCCCCTCTCACAAAGCTCAATTAAAAGCCCTGAGAAGGACTTGGCCCCTTTTTCTTGTGCCCGAAGCTGGCAATTACATAATGAGTGTTGACTGAAAGCTGCCACAACAAGAAAATGTCCTCTTGTGTCCTATTTACACACTCGCTAGCCACGCCACTGGGGGGGGGGATGAGTTCCCTCCTTCACGTCACATACCCCCTCCCTACTGGATGGGCCACTGAGGAC